GCTGTTAGCTCTTGGACCCCGCCTTTCTAACTAATGTATTTTTCCTCTATTATATCTACTACATATATTTCTTACACACACACACACACACACACACACACACACACACACACACACACACACACACACACACACACACACACACACACACACACACACACACTTCTCTAGGTATGCAACTAGTCTGAACCTGATTATCCTGTCGAGTAGTTTGCAGTGGATGCTCGTCACTGATACTGGACTGTTGTTAAGCGCCCCTTCTCTAGCTCCTCTATTGAAAATTGGTACCACATTTGCCTTCTTCCAGCAGCTGGGCAACTCTCCCTAAGCGACTCGTTCAAGATCCCTGCCAGAGGCACGCTGAGGGCCTGCGCTGCCTCTTCCAATATCCAGGGTGATACCTTGTCTGGTCCGACACCTGTAGTTTCGTCCAATTATGCTAGTTGCGTCTTTACTGCCCTTAGCCGTCACCTCAGTGTTAAATGTCGTCTTGGGGGGGGGGGGGGGGGTGGGGGGGGGGGGGGTTCTAACACTGGAAGCCGCTAGGCGCTCCTGTGATTGGTCAATGGAAATTCACATTAACAATTTTCCAATTATCATTATATATTTCCTTCCCGTTTCCTAGCCCCTGTTGCATCTATTCCCCTTTTTTTTCCTCCTGCGCTTTGTTGGTACTGTCTATTAAACCATGGGTTATTATATTAGCTATTTACTGTTTGGTGAACAGGACAACGGGTGAAAGAAACTACTGCTCATTTGTATGTCTCGGGCGGGACTCGAACCCGGGCCCTTAGGACTACGACCCCCCGAGCGCTGTCTACTCGACCGCAATATTGTTGTCTTAGATTCAGTTACTGGGAACCAAAAGTTGCAAGTAGCACGGGTTATGGCGAGCCCGTAGTGGACTTACCCGGCGCAGGAGCGGGGCTGTGACTGCTGGCTCGACCGCAAGCCCTGGAGCCTTGCCTGCCTGCCTGCCCTGCCTTGCCTGCCTGCCTTGCCTGCCTTGCCTGCCTTGCCTGCCTTGCCTGCCTACCCTGCCCTGCCCGCCTCCTTCCCTCCCTCCCTCCCTTTCTCCTGCATGTGTGACACTTTGTCTCTAATTCTTAATTAATATCTCGACCCTGAATCGACCTTCCGTACGTCACCCCCCCCCCTCCCCCCCCCCGCCCCCGGCCCAACAACCTCCACCCAGACTCTGAAAAACCCGGGCGGAGGTTGATGCATGGCTGCAGATGTGGGTTATTATCTTAGGTGGGGGTGAGAAGCACCACACTCACACCTTCCTTCCCTTTCCCTGCTCCCTTCCCTCCCTCTCCCTCCCCACCCTTACACAAGGTAATGGGAGGTATATCATACCTCCCTTTTTATTGTTCTTGCTTGCTCCTCCTTATGTCCATCCTCATTGTTCACTCCCACCACATGCCATAGGTCTATCCTCTATCCCTCGGGGCTACATTCTCCTTTATAGTCATTCTCTGTCGCTTCATTCCTTCCCTCATTTTTTTTTTTTTTTTTTTTTTTGAGGTATATACAAGAGTTGTTACATTCTTGTACATGTACAAGAATGTCCTCCTATTTGACTTTTCGCCTTTTATCTTGCTTCCCTCCGTTTCTCCTCATTTTTACCTGTTCGTTCCTGCCTCCTGTATGTGACGCTCGGGCGGGTATTTTGGCGGGAAACGTGACCAATCACGGCCGTCGCTGGTGGGGCGCTGCTTTCCCGCCAGCGGGGTAGTCATGCCCGCGCCCTCGACACGCCATCACGCAAGAAGCGACCAGATACCATAGAGCATCACGCAAGAAGCGACCAGATACCATAGAGCATCACGCAAGAAGCGACCAGATACCATAGAGCATCACGCAAGAAGCGACCAGATACCATAGAGCATCACGCAAGAAGCGACCAGATACCATAGAGCATCACGCAAGAAGCGACCAGATACCATAGAGCATCACGCAAGAAGCGACCAGATACCATAGAGCATCACGCAAGAAGCGACCAGATACCATAGAGCATCACGCAAGAAGCGACCAGATACCATAGAGCATCACGCAAGAAGCGACCAGATACCATAGAGCATCACGCAAAGCGACCAGATACCATAGACATCACGCAAGAAGCGACCAGATACCATAGAGCATCACGCAAGAAGCGACCAGATACCATAGAGCATCACGCAAGAAGCGACCAGATACCATAGAAGATCAGAAATTGAATTAGCAGTTTCCTTATCTACACAAAAAGGAACAAACGGTAGCGAGGTATTCGTATTTGGAGAAGAACCCTTCCGTGTAAAAGGAGTCGCCCGGTGGAGCCGAGATGGGTAAGGAGGGCAGGTTAATGGTGGGGTGATGACGGTTTGGGAGTACTGATAAAGGGAGGATGTGGTAGCAGAGCTGTTGGAGGAGGCGGGGGCGGGGGGGGGGGGGGGGAGTGATAGGGTGATAACCAAAAATCATGTCCGTAATATTGGAGTACCGTACCCGCCTGTTGCAGCATCAACCACATAATCACTACATGCATCCTGTCAACACTGTAAA